GATAGATTTTGGCCTCAGGGTTTTGGGGGTTGGACTGACCTGGGAGCCCAGCCCAGGAAAGATGCTGATCTAGGGCAGCTGGTGGCGGTTCCACCCAGAGATGCAAAGGAAGATGGGGGCAGGAGGTGGCCCCAAGGGCCCCTGGGGACTGCACTGAGGAGCTGGGTTGGTTTGGATGCAAAGAACCACGAAGAGGAAAGGTTAGCCCTTGTGTCCAGGAAAGAGGCTGGCGGGTTGTGCAGACCCAGGGAAGCAGAGGGAGGTGAGGGTGGGCCCAGGCCCAGAGTGCCCCTGGCGATCTGAGACGGAACTGAGTTGGTCTGGGTCCAGAGGATCAGGAAGTAGTGGTGGTTCCCCAGGCGTCTGGGGCGCCAAGACAAGGAATGGGACAGGACCCACGCTAGGAGGAGAGACCAGCAGGGGAGATGGGAGAATGAGTGTGCCTGGGGGGACTCAAGGCACGGAGGGTGAGATCGATTTACCCCAGAGAGAGAGCGCGAGGCCTGTGGGTGCGACCTTGAATTTCTGATCGTCCTGTATTTACCTCCCAAGTGCTGAGATTACAGGCCTGTGCCACCATGCCCAGTTTTGAAAATCACTTTAAAAAAAATTTTTATTTTTATTATTTTTGTATTTTTGAGACAGGGTCTCCCTGTAGCCCAGCTGGCCTAGGACTCACTCTGTAGACCTGGCTGGTCTCCAACTCACAGAGTCCCTCTGCCTCTGCCTCTCAAGTGTTGGGATTAAAGGCATGCACTACCATACCTGGCAACAATCACTTTTACAAGTGAACTATTTTATTCAGTCACCTAAACTTCATTCTTTTTTCTTTCTTTCTTTTTCTCTCTTCTCTCTCTCTCTCTCTCTCTCTCTCTCTCTCTCTTTCTTTTTTTGGCTTCTTTTTTGTGAAACGATAGCACAGAACAGTCAAACATGTCTTTTCCCATTCTCCCACTCTGTAAGATTGCAGAGTGAAACTTGAGTTCTCCAATGAAATATGTACAAATATTGAACCAATTCAAAAATACAATGTTTTTAGCCTTCCCTGGTACACTAGCTAAGCATGATGTTTTATTTGGCTTTTAGGCCCAAGTATAATATTGCTGAATGTCTTGAACAGGAAGCAGTGTTCAGAGTCAAGTACCATGAACTTCACAGTTGCACAGCTCATTCCCCACATTACCTTGTTTGTGAGTCCCTTGAAGGCAAGACTATCTGACTCATCTCTGTAAATCCAGCCCTTTTAGCACAGAGCCTGGCAATTACCTGGTCAGCTCAGTAAATGTTTGCTGAATCAAACAGTTCAGTCAGGCCAAATGTATACTCTTCAGTCCACAGGTCTAAAGGAACCCTGGACATGGTTTCCTTACCCACCCAAAGATGTACATAAGACCATACATTTTAAAGTCCTTTAAATAGTGCTTGTTAATGCCTTCTCATTAGAGCAGGCTAATACTGTCTGAGCCCCATGCCACATTCAGCTCTTAGGGGACAGAGAGGTGGAAGATGCCACTGAAGTTTAAGAGAGAGAGAGAGAGAGAGAGAGAGAGAGAGAGAGAAAATTCTAGCTAAAAGTTGGAAGGGAAAGGTTCCAGCAATGCTTCTCAAATCTTGCTGTGCAAGGAGACCCTGGGATCTTATCAAGATGCAGATTACAATTCAGCAGGTCAAGAAGAGCCTGAGATTCTGTGAGTCATAGAAGCCAAGAAGCTACTGCTTTTGTTCCTCCTCAGTGTGAATTTGAGGGACTAGATGGCACATACATAACTGTCTCCAAAGGTCTTTCCCAAAGTGTCTGTTGTCTTATTTCCCCTCCCTTCCCCAGCCTCTGTGGAATTCCTTCTTCCTTAGACAGCATCATGTGTCTTTCCCTCCCCCTAATCTAGTAAGTTCTCCAACTTGGTCCAAGTTTTGTATGACACACAACCCTGTGCTTTGTCCATCCATGAAGAGGTATAGCTCAGCTAGAGCCATTGCCCCAATTGTATGTAGCTCAGCCAGCATACCTGGGCATCCTTTGGGATGTCACCCCAATTCAAGGGATGTTTTAAAACATTTCTGGCAAAAGTGGTTTTAGAACTGTGCAGGATGAAGGACTAGGAATAAAAATGCCTTTGTCAAAATTGTGCATGTCTGACTGACCCGTGGGATCATGGGTTTCCAACAGTATGTCTTGAGTCTTGCATTGCCTTCCCTAGCATCATTTCCAAACTTCCCCTTTCTTAACTCTAAGTCCCTTTTCTCCCACCTGACCAGAGGGCTAAGCTCCCTTTGAGAGTCTGAGGCCGTGTTCTAAGATTACATTCAGCTTATCACCTTATCCTCAAATCTAAACCAAAGCTAAGGACAATGAAGTCCATCAACAATAGACCTTCATATGAAAAAGAACAAATCCCCTGTGAGCTCAGAGCGTGGCCAACAGGACACCATCAAGGGCTGAGGGGCAGATGGGTTTCTCTACAGCTTTGCTCACTGCCCTGTTCCTCCTCCTCACTTGGCTCCAGTGCCCCTTTCCTTCTTGTCTCCTTACCTGCATTGTTTGTGGCTATGTTGCTGAAGATGTCATATGAAATACATTCACAGCATTTGGAATGTACTGGAAGGCAAAGGCACTAATTCATGGACTAATTCAACATTTATAATCACTTTCTAGGTTCCTAACTCACCCTTTAAGCTTTTTTCCTTATCTCTTTCAAACTTCCATTTTTCCTTCATTGCTTCTTCAACATTCTCTCTTGTCACAACTGGTAAGCCTTCTGACTTTTCCTCACTCAGTTCCTTTAGGAGGTTCTTTATGTGCCAAATCTGTTCCTTCTTTAAGTGTCCATTCTGCCATGAAAATTGACAGTGGTTAACAACATCTGCTCAACTGTTTATACCATTTTCCCGGAACAGAGGCACACGCTGAGGCTTGCAAAGTGAGGAAGAACCATTTCATTGAATAAATTATGCACTATTGTCTCAAAGAGCTTAGGGATCATATAAGATTCAAAATAAAATAATAATCTATCGATGTAATAACCATTGATAGAAAGTTACATTTAAAAATTTTTGCTACCAGTTTAGCAGTCTGTCACCCTACCACAGGCCCATGAACATTAAAGCCAAACCCTGGAGGTAATTGTTTTCAATTTTCCGTCAACCCTGTTCTCTAGTCTCTGTTACTCATTTAGTCATCCATGCTGTGCTGTTGGGCTATATGCTGGGCACTAGGACTACATCAGTTAGCAAAACGGAAAAAGTCCTGCTTTTGTGGAATTTCCATTATTCTTTGCTTTCATTACAAGTGACCCTGCCTAATTCTCCTCTTTTAGGGTGATGGCTACTCACCATTCAAAACTTCACACTTGAAGCAAAGATAAAGCAGGTTTTTCTTGTGGATTCCCAATCAGTGTCTAAGAGGCATATTTAACCAACTTGCAGTTTATGTTTGCCGTTGTTAGCTTACTATGTGTATGCTAACACATTGTATTAAACCTGAGAGAATTAGTCACACACAAACCTGCCTTCTAGTAATTACTGAAGTGAGTCTTTCACGATGAAATAAATGACACTAGATAGTAACTTGAATCCATGAGAAAACACATGACATCAATAAAAGTAACTATATGGGTTAATATGAAATGTATGTAATTATATTTTTGTAATTATTTTTCTCCTATCTTATTTAAAAGATCCCTGCATGGAGAGCAATTGACGACTTAATGTTTATTATCAATTGGTCACAATTTATGAGGTATATTTTGAATGATAATAAAAATGAGGAGGAAGGGAATGGAGCAAAGTTTTTGTATGTTGAGATTAAGTTGGCACTAATCTCTATAAATTAGGATGTGAACTGGAATCCTCATGAAAAACCACTAAGAAAAATAACTAAACTATAATGAAAGAAATAACAGAGTTAAAATGGTCCAGTAGAAAACATTTAATACAAAAGAAGAGACAAATGGAATCAAAGAGAGCAAAAGAGGAGGAAACAAACCACAGGAGCCAGGCATAGCGGCCCAAACCTATAATCCCAGCACTTGGGAGAGGAAGGCAGAAGGATCAGGGGTTCAAGGACATCTTCCTCTGTGTAGTGAGTTTGAGACCAACTCGGACTATAGGAGACCTTGTTTCAAAAACTCATGAGTAAGTAAATTAATTAAATAAAATAAAAGAAACAAATGTCACATGTAAATCTTCCCTCATTAAAATGCTAGAAAATGAAAATTGGTTAAACAAGGCAATTAAAAGGTAGAACTTGGCAGAATGGCTTTTTAAAAAGTGACTCCAAGGGGCTGAAGAGATGGCTCAGTGGTTAAGAGCACTGACTGCTCTTGCAGAGGACCCGGGTTCGATTCCCAGCACCCACATGGCAGCTAACAACTGTCTGAACCTCCAGTTCCAGGGAATTCAATGGCCTCTTCTGTCCTCCGCAGGCATTGCATGACACAGGTGCACTTACATACATGCAGGCAATACACTCATACACATAAAATAAAAATAATAAAAAAATTACTCCATCACATGCTTTCTTTTTAAAAGAATATTTTATTTATAATTATTATTTTATGTGTATGAGTGTGTTGCCTGCATGTAGGTAAGTGCACCTGTGTCGTGCAATGCCTGTGGAGGACAGAAGAGGCTATCGAATTCCCTGGAACTGGAGTTTCAGACAGTTGTTAGCTGCCATGTGGGTGCTGGGATTCAAACCTGGTTCTTCTGCAAGAATGTTCTTAACTGCTAAGCCATCTCTCCAGCCCTTCCTGCATACTTTCTGAAAGATCCACTTTATAGTCTATGAAATGAATATCCTGAAAGTGCAAAGATGAAAAAAAAATTTTACCATGCAGACAAGTAACCTAAAGGATGTTGGAATGACTATAGTAACATAAGATAAATAGGCTTCATGAAAAAAAACCAACCACATAAAAATAAAGAAATGAAACCATAACGAGTATATATCAGTTAAAAGCAAATATATCCCATATTAAGGGTCCCTTAAGATTCAGGTCAATCTAGAAAAACAGAATGTGACTCTATTAGATCTAACTAGTTAAAATGAGGTCATAGTAGACTAGGGTGTGCCCTAAATCTACTGACTGGTTTTCTTTAGTAAAAGGCAGTGCAAGGGGATGGGGGAGGGTTTCACAAGCAAAGCAGTTGCCTAGTATATGTAGACTTTGGTTTTTATCCCTAGCATTGAAAATAACACAGAGACAGACACAAAGACACAAACAGAGGCAATGTGAAGGTGGGGCAGAGAGCAGAGTGGTATGTTTACAAGCCAAGTACTGCCAAAGACTGCTGCAATACTAAAAACCAGGAGATGGGGTGGTTTCTCCCTAAGACCATTCAGAAGCAACCAACGTTGTCTACAAGTTGCTAACACATTGAGTTTGAAGTTCTGGCTTTCTAAATGGTGAGAGAATAAATTTTTATTGTCTTGAGACACAGAGTTTGTGGTAAGCTGCTGAAAAAGGATAACTCATGCCAACACCAAAGTGGCTGATACATTGGAATGATCAAAGGTTTAATGGAGCCGTAATAACAAAGTGCTTCCATGAGCAATGATGAACATGCCGAACACAAATAAAAACTGGAACACTCCAAACTGCCCAATTTGAAGAGGTAAGAGAAAAACAGATGAAAGTGGGGTACAGTGTTTCTAAGTCATACTACCTGAATGCCTGAATAAAGAAACAGCCAGACTCCGCATTCACTTTAAGGTCAGTATGGATCTGAACTCTGAGAACAACCTGTTCCTTCAGATGTCTCTTAATGAACTATGCTCTCGAGCCAGGCTTCACTCATACTTTTATTGAATCCATATCTTCAGCATGAAGTGAGGAACTCAAAGCTAGGGTCCACCTCATCTCATCAGAGAATCATGCCCTTTGATCCCTAAGCCCAAAAGAACTCTCTCACACAATTTCAGACTTCTCAATTCTTCTCTCTGTTTGCAATGAGGAAGACATGCTTCTTCCAGTGCTTTGATATGTTAACCAAGCACACTCACATTCATGTACTATTTGGGGTGGAGGAAAAGGGGGAGTCCTGAGAGATTGAGGTCAGGTACTGTGGTGATTTGAAAGAAAATGTCCCCCATAGGCTCCAAGTATTTGGACATTTTGTCCCCAGATGATGGCACTTGTTTGGGGAGATTTTAGAAGGTGTGGCTATCCTGGAGGAAGCACGTCGCTGGGGGCAGGCTTAGATAATTCTTAAGCCTTGCCAGATCTCCAGTTGCTCTCTTGCTTCCTGTGTCTGCGTGATGATGTGGGAGCTTAGCTTCTGCTGCTCCCGCTCCAGCCACCTCCAGCCACCATGCCTCCCTGCCATGATGGACTGTAATTCCCCTGGAACTGTAAGCTCAAATAAACTCTTCCTTCTATAAATTGCTTTGGTCAGTGTTTCTATCACAGCAACAGAAAAGTGACTAATACAGGTACCCAAGTCACAAGAGGAGCATACGCTCAGTGAGCTAGTTTACATTATAATCTTTTTGGTTGCAAGGTTAGGTGAAAGTCATTAGTCAAGATTATGTCCATACTGTAAAAGTCATTCCTACAGGGAAAAAAACAGAAAGGCACCTTGGGAACCTGGGGGTCTTAATTTTTCCACATCCCCACCAACACTGTGATGATCTATCCTAGAAGCTGTGAAGTGGCACCTCATTGCGTTATTTTCATTTCCCAAATAACTAAGTTAAGCATCGTTTCATGTCCTTGTTGGTTATTTTTACATCTTTGGAGAAATAGCTACGTAAGGCTAAACTGAGTTTTGACAAAGGCATACAAGCAATTCAATGGAGGACAGACAACATTACCAACCAACACTGCAGGAACAATTGGGCATCTGTAGGTGTATTCATTCTAAAGATTTGTAATTCCACTTTTCACATTTAAATCATAGCCCACTTTGAATGATTTAGTTCAAAGTACTTAGTACAAAAATATGAAGACCTCTTTGCACATAAATACTTGTGCACAAATATTTATATTGCTTTATGCATACTAACCAATAACTAGAAACAACTCAAACATCCTACAAGTGACTGGTTTAACAAACTGTAGTACATCCATATTAAGGAAAGCTATTCAGCTACAAAGGGAACCAAATAAGGAACTAATATGGATGAATCACCAGAAAAGTATGCTGAACGAAAAAGCTGATCCCCAAAGGTGGCAAATTATGATTCCATTTTCATAATATTCTTGAAATAAAAAAAAGATAAAAAATAATAAAAAAGGAGAAACAATTAATGGTTGCCAGGAGTTAATGAAAGTAAGATTGAGAGAGTCAGTGGCTATAAAAAAGCAACATAAGGAGTACTTGTAGCTATGGAAACATCCTCTGTCCTACCTATCAGTGTTAATTTTGTTAATATTCTACTCAATATTGTTCCATAGTTTTCTTTTTAAAATTTTTTATTTATTTTTCATTGTGTATGTATGAGTGTTTTACCTGCATGTATATAAATGCACCCATGTCATACAGTGCCTTGTGGAGGCCAGAAGAGGGTGTCAGATTCCCCTGGAACTGGATGGTTGTTAGCCACCATGTGGGTGCTGGGAACTGAACGCAGTGCTTTGTGGAGGCCAGAAGAGGGTGTCAGATTCCCTGGAACTGGATGGTTGTTAGCCACCATGTGGGTGCTGGGAACTGAACATGGGTCCTCTTCAAGAGAATCCAGTGCTCTTAGCTGCTGAGCTGTCTCTCCAGCCCCTGTTCCATAGCTTTCTAATGTTACACAAAACTAAGCAATGGATAAGGATCTCTGTTTGTATTGTTTCTCATAAAGCTAATATATTATTTACCTGCTAATATATTACTTGCAAGTTGAA